GCTGCATTTTCTGTTTTCCAGTCGCCGGCGCGTGGAGGTCACGCGCAGGCACACGCGCCCCCGGCCCGGCCCGTGGTCTACCCAGACCACCCCCCCAAGTCGGAATCCCCACCCCAATCCACCTGTCAGGCGCGTGTACTGAGGAGGGGCCGGGAACCTGCAGATCTGGGGCGGCGGCGCTAGGGTTTCCACCTAGGGCCGCCGCATGAAAGAGCGGCTGTGTGAGTGGCGTGAGGCTGGTATTATCTTCTTCCATCTAAAAAACCTTGAAATTAAAACTTTGGATTCTTGGGAGAGGAGTTGCAGGCAGTTTTCTACATGTTGAAGGGCCGGCTGTTATTCCTCTTTTCTTAGCAGACCATTTTTGAATCCCCAGCTCCATATGTGAGGAAAAAAATCATAACCAAGTATTTAAAATCATCAAGCAAAACACCCAAGGTGGCAGGCAAACACCATAGAAACATGTCTTGTGCCCATATATATGTTTGTTTGAGTGTATTTATGTATTTATACATCTGATTATGATATAATGATCTCAACCAAATCTTGATTCCCATAATTTCAGACAGGTGGAAGTAGGGAATATGAAAGAGAATATAAAAGTTAGCTGAACTTGCCTAAAAGATTCAGAGGACATAATAAAATTGGAGAGTAACAGCACATCGTCGGCATGAAGAGATGCCTTTTGTGCACTAAAAAGACTGATAACCTGCATTTAAGTTTCAACTGATGATGTTTTTGACTGGAAACCACTAACAACTGGGTTAATTACACTTGTAAAGGAGTTGTTGTGACTGACAAAAGAAGGTAAAACAAGAACTTCAGAATTAGAAGGATGACCTTATGTCTACACATTAATATTGCAAACAAGACTCCTGAATCAGCTATATCTTGCAAGATCAAACCTGCTGCTTGCCTTGTTGCATAAGCAAGGGGAAGACAGGTATATGCATGGAGAAAAGTGGCAGGATTCCTACAACAGAGATGTAACTAAGTCTTAGTTGTAAATTACAGAGAGTTAAAAGAACTACAAAAAACATAAATACGTAACTGACAGATAAGGAACATTACATTTGGTCTCAAAAGGCAATCATATGACCTCACAATCAAACAATTGACATCAAACTCAGAGAGATGCTTCCAGTTATTAAGCTAAAAAGCTAACTTAAATTTGATTGTTAAGGAATACAAATTTCAAGCAGAAATTACAATGTCCACTACATAATAATTTATAAACATCTAAAATAATGTGGGTAGCTCTATTCTTCCTTCTGATTTATAGAAGTGACAGTACAAGCCGTGATAGACATAACCAGGAGGAAGAAAACTACCGCTATTGAGAAAGAGAACATTGGTTGCACAACCTTCCAAGCAAAATGTTTAACAATATTAGACGGATTCTTCAAAATTAAAACCAGTTAATGAAAAAATCATGGAAGGAAAGCACCGTTGGACATATGGTTTCAGATATTAGAATCTCTTGCTCAGATTGGGAATTTCAGCAAGAGTAATAATACAACTAGTAAACTAGCTAGATGGACGGATTGTACCCATTACATATGATGAAGGAAAAGGAAAATGATGCAGACACTAAAAAGTAAGAATTTTATTAGTTAATAAAGTGAGGTTCTTCCTACGGTCATAGTCCAGAGACTAAGAAGTACTCACTATCTAGAGTTGATTATTAACGTCCATCAAAAAGAGTTTTTCTTGTAGCCCACAGTTCGCAAGCTCTAACACCTAATATACTTCGCCAAAAATGCGTGCGTGGGTGTGTGCATGTAGAGAGAGAGAGAGAGAGATCAGAATTGTTTGGACTAACAACAGATTAATAATGACATAGTTGGAATAGCTGACAAGGCTTTATTAATATTGCTTTTACTGACACTAGATTATCAGTTCAAAGAGATTAACGATGTACCAACTGAAAGAATGGATGAGAGAGGAGAAGACAACATCTGTTCCTCCAAGTAAATGTGTCATATCAAATCTGGGATTCTTCTCAAAACATCTATTTACAGACTTTGTGAGGATAAGTATCATCTGCATTTAAATCAAAGCAAAATAAATAAGTTAACACGTCCATCAGAAGTGAATCTCATCAAATTAAATAGGCATGAAATGGAAAAAAAATGGTAAGAGCCTCTGAAATTACATGGATGCGTTACCCACCTAGAAAATCTATTAAAAATATATATATAAAAATGGCAATATGCTACCTGACCATAAAGGAGCTCCAGTTGTCCCCTTAGTGACTCATAAGGCTCTTCTGTGCAGCTAATGCAAACTAAGTAAATTGGTCCTTTCACAAGAAACACTACCTGAAATTCAAACCTCACATATCTGAAAAAATATGAAAGCGCACTAAAATACAAGCCAAAAATCCTACATAAGTATGGTGCTGAACTCTATAGAAGCTTCCTATTTAAAATAGTTAGCATTAACCAGCTCTACAAAAGATTTTACCAAGTAGGTAACTATTTAGCCCCTGTTTGAGCCCCATTATAGTAAGAAAATATATTTTGGAATAATGGTTTTTTGAAGAATATGTGGTTAAAAAAGAAGAAAATTTTTTCGATTTACATGTAAAATTATTTTGTGGGAGAATGCGTGATTGAAAATGGGCTTTGAGAAAATGAGTTTTTGAAAAAATGGGGGACAAACATAGGCTTAATGTTAAAAGAAGAAGCATGATGCCACTCTACACAAATAAGTCACTACAAATATCACAAGACAAACTAACCTGGTGCTTTCCTGCTCTTACAAATTTAACCTGATCGTGCCTGAAAAGGAAGCAATGAGGCAAACTAATATACAAGCTGATAGAAAAACGGCAAAATGAGATGATAGCAAAAGAGCTGCATGAACAATGTACCCATTTTCCACAAAGGAAATGATGGCTTGCAAAGTTGCAGAGAACCCAGCTAGCTTGTGTTCATCCCCATATCTTTAACTCAATTGCAAAACCAAACAAAGATTATGATTCATAAATGAAAGTCATAATCAAATGCTGGAATTGAACAGATACAGTGAATCATCACCTTTAAATACAGGAAAAAATGGAAATCAATTTTGCTGTACGGCAAAAAGTTCAAGAAACCAGCGATGCATACCTAGAATATATGGGTTTCCCGGAGTGACTCAATATAAAGAAGTGTTTCTTCCTTTTTCTCCATGAAATTGAAGCATCATCCTGCATTTTATTAAATAGTCAATCAATTTAGGACAGAGCAGCTGTCATGGACCACCATATACCTAACATTAGTTAATTGGTGTGATCTCAAGAGTGTCAATAAGGCTTACGAATAGGAAAAACCGAGAAAATATAGCATATATCAACAATGGATTTTGCTCAAGCAGAAAACAGACATATTGTTCAGGATACCCCCAAAACAAGAACTGGCCATATAATGGAGTGCAAAAAATAATCTCTGAATTGGTTAAAAAATAAATAGGCAATTAGAGTAGTTAAAATAAAGGCTAAATAATGGCCATCTTCCTCAACTTTTACACCTTTTTGCAATTTTATCCCAACCTTTGTTTCTTAACATTACTCATCTCAAACTTCTATATATCAGTGCTCGGTCTCCAGTGAGCAACCAAAATGTAGAATTTAAAACCTTCTTTCTCTAAAACCCTGAACTGTCCTCTCTCGTCCCATTTCCTGTCTTTCTCTATGTTCTCAAACCCACTTTTCAAAACCCAATCTCAGTTGGTTATTTCCCCAAAACCACAAATTTTATGGATCAGTTTTCTCATCTTGTAGTAGGGAGGTTGCTATATCCTGCAATTTTAAATAGAATAAAACTCTTACTGCCAATAATAGGTTTTCTCCCATCCCAATAGGCGTTTCTACCCATCGAAATCCAACCACTAACTCAAAACTCAAATTTTCCTGCCAAACTTCCATTCATTTTCTGAACGGACTTATTGAGGGCAACTCCCGAGCTCTGAGAGGCCAAGAGGAATGTTCACCATAAAAGTAAGAAATGGCACATGCTCTAAAATCCACACTAGATTTAACCTGTTAATTTCTGTGAAGAGGAGCTCCGAATGATTAGTTTGGGCTATGACAGACGTTGACAAAACTTCTATTCCCAAATCTGCAACAGAAGTTAGTTGATACAAATTACTTGTTTCATTCAGGGGTCTACTTTTCGTTTTTGAAGAATTAGAGAATGGTGTGTAGTGCTGCTATGGGAAACCTTCATTGGGTACTACAGGCACCAATTTATGAAAGCTTGGGCGAGAAATTCCAAGAAGAGAGGTGAGCATAATATGAAGAGTGCCAAAGAAATTCAGCAGAAGATAAACAAGTTTGAGCTATACATAATCAATTGTGGATGACCTAGAAACACAAAAATTAAATGTGCATTGTGCGGTCTTTGAACTTTGAACAGTGAGAATAGGCATCATTTTGAATTAGCGAAATTCCAAAACAAGCTTGCGTCCTATAATTTGATGTAGGAGAGTTTAATTCAGTTCGATTTTAGGTTAGTGGATATTTTGGCAGTAGTTGATGAGAAAGGGTTTTTGGACCAAAACTCAAATCTGTACCCGAGCTGGGAATGGTAATCGGGAACAGTAGTTTGTAAATGGGGTCATTTCCTATGGCTGCATGCTGGAATTTCCCATTGAGGGTGGTCGGATTAATCTAAGAAAAGACAGGTCTAAAATATTAGCTTAAAATCAGAATCAAGAGAAAGGACAGGAGGGCCGGAGGAAAGAAGGAAATAAGATTTCACCTTGAAAGGGATTAAGCAAATTGATGCAAACACTACATTAATTCTAATATAACAAGCCACTCTGCTGCAAATAAAGATAATACAAAGATTGCCATCCCAATGTACAATCAATTAGCTCATATAATAGACATCAGAGAAGACGTTAGTAATCAGCTATTGAAAATCAATTACACCTAGAAATCAATAATTTTTTGGTGATATTTTAGTCATCACACCCTATAACAATAGCAGCTACAAGTTTATCACTGGCTATGGACGCAGAGGTCGTGAACAATGACTCGGACAATCTCATATAGGCCACCTCAACAACAAACAGATCGAAATAGTTCCCTCTAATGTGTAATATACTTTATTTTGATTAAACTCGAAGAATTGTAAGAAATACGATTCTTTTACTGCCCTTGATTACCAACACGTCCACCAATGCATACCATTTTCCATGTACTCAAAAATCATTCAACAAATTATTCAATCAAGAAAATGAAAAAGGGAATGGGAAAACCGAAAAAGTATTAGTTTTGAATGTTTCAGCCAACCTCATCTAGGTTGCGTTTTCTGCGAGTCCGGTGCTCTTGAGACCGCAGAACTCCATAATTCTGGACCTCGTCATTCTCATCCTCGGCATCATCATCCTTAATTTCATCACCCACACCGGCTGCATTGCCACTACTCCCTCTCCCACCCGCGTATCCACTGCTATTGGGACCCATTGCTTCTTCCTCGGAATTATTCCTCGACGCTGAACTTGCTTCAATTACCCTCGAAGCTTTCGCCTTCAAACTACTCTTAGTCTGCTCTTCTTCTTTAATCTCATCTACTACAACTTCTTCTCCAATTTCTCCATTCATCTGTCCAATCGTGGTTGTGAGCTGTTCCATGGGCTCCGGTTGCTCCTCTTCCTGATCAAACGGCTCCATTTCGGGATGAGACAACATTGAAATTGAAACCAATTGATTTTCCACAGCGTCGAGTGACTGATCAATTGAATTCAGATTTAGGTCCTGGTTCAAATTAGGGCTGTGAAAATCGCTTTCAGAGGAAGAAGAATTTGAATCGGAGGGCATTGTCTGAATTAGGTTGGAGAAAATGGTAAGTGGTGCACACCAACCAAACTGGAAATACACAAACTAGAAGACGACCAGTAGGTGAAGGTGGTGGTTTCAGGATTGGGGGATGGGTTCAGGTAGCACGCCTTGCAACGGTACGATGCAGAAACGGGCCCGATTTTCCACTTGGATATATTGGGCCATTTGACAATTTCATGCAAGTTTCGTTTCGTTTTGATTTCTTTTACTTTTACTTTTACTTTTACTTTTACTTTAACTAATAAAGAGGCCTTTGGAAGAATTTATAAACTAATTAATTTATAAATAAAAAGTAACCGATAAATAAATTAATATTACTTTTGAATTTATTAAAATGTGTGTTTGAATATGAAGGTAGATCATTAATAAATTTCGTCTAACGGACTAGTTACATTTTCATTTTAATTTATTAATGCAAAATTATTTGGACTACAAATTCTTTAAGAGTATTTTCGAGAAACTCTATATTTATAGATGGCATCTTATACATTATAAGAGCGTGTATAAGTTTAGAAGGTCAAAAATTTTATGCACTCCAACAATAGTTTCTATTTGATTCTTCATTTTACTTTTCTCAAAAAATATTGATTGATTTCTTCTCTTATTTTATTTAACATAATTTATTATGTGCATATCAATTTGTATTTTGAATAGTAAAAAGTATATTAGTAAAATCTGTGATTCGCTAAATACAATCATTGTACATTAACTTATTTTAAAAATTAAGATGGAGAGTCTCCTGTAACTTAATTTTAAATATTAACTATTTAAAATAAAAAGTATTTTTGTGTTAGAGAGCCTTGTAGATATGTTCATCCAGATGAAAAAGAAAACCCGCCCCTGCTTGAACCCTATTTTTGAAAAAAAATTCATTTTCAACCGCACATTCTCCAATAAAATAATTATACAAGAATTTTAAAAACTGTTTCTTACTTTTTTGTTACACATTCTCCAAAAATTCATTATTCCATTATAAATTTTACCTGGGATAATGCAAGGTTATACTAGCATAGTAGCATATATCTTAGTTGCTAATAATAATAATGGGAAAATGTTGCTAGGAAGTTGGAACCTCCATGGAACTTGAAAATATAGGATTAAGAGGGTAAACTAGAAGTTAGGCCAAAGAGATGTAAATTGTATTTTTCAACATAAAATATATAAAAAAAATGTAAATTTATATATTTTTTACATATACAAAAGACAAAAAATAAATTTAAATCCTTTCATTGGAGCAAAATTTAAATTTAAATCCAATGAAATATTAATAAGAATGTTAAAAGCGGATTTTATATATACCAATTTAAGATGCTCTTAGTTTTGTCATTCCAGTTGATATGGCTTCAAGGCAATCATGATATATGTACGTCGTCATCAGGGACGGATTGAGGGGTCCCAAACCCATTGAATTTTGGACCATGCTAGACGATCTGCGTGGATGATCTCGGAATTGACCGCGCACATACACATGGAGGGTTGGGATTATTTTAATCATGTGGGACCCTCACCTCGGTTGTGAGGGTGCGATCATCCCCGCGAGTCGTTTAGCATTATTTGTAATTTTTTTTTTTTTTTTTTTTTATTACATATTAGCATGTAATCCATACGTGTACGTCATATTTTATTATTTTACGCTTTGTCAAGTGACCATACATTATTGAACAATTTAAATTTTTTACAATTTTTTCAACGTTTTCAAGGAATCATAATCAATGAATTAATAGCCCCTCGTTTTCCACCCAAAGTCGATACCACACATTGTAAACTACTACAACATGCTCCGTTCCAACTTTATTAATGATTCCAAAATCAATAATTCCCTCGTTAAACATTGTTCTAAATTTTATGGTATTTCACCTTCTTCTCAAAACTAATTTTTCGAAATTAAGAATTACAATCGGGGATGCATACACCTATGAGATGAAAAACAACAATCCGCTTCACTTCAAAAAATCTCAGTTAAAAATTAGGCTCTCTCTCTCTTTTTTTTTTTTCTGTTTTTCTTTTTTATTGGGGGGCTAGATAAAACGTAAAACGGAAAATAAACCCAAAAATAAAAAAACTGGTAAAAATGAATCAATCTTGGAACCCAGTTTTCTCCCAAATTGCATTTCTAACCGTACTGAGATCTCTTCCCTTGAGAGTCCTACCAATCCCTTCGTGCACCGAGAAGGAGACCATCCTAGTCCTCGCCATTTGCCGCGCCAAATACTCGTGTGGCGGCATCCGACTCCCGTTCTCTCCATACTCCTCGTCTTCGTAATCATCGCCTTCGGTGTCTCGGCGGCGGTTCTCCCTGTACTCTTCCTTCAATATCTTCGACCAGTCCGGCACGTTCACCGGAAGAGACGCTGGTCCGCCGTCGACTCTCGGTGCCGGCGCTACCGACTTTCTGGAAATTCTGGAACTAGCTTTCTGGAACTCCGGCGTGGCCGAGCAGTCATCCATGTTCCAGACGTCGGATTCGTCGAGCTCGAAGATCGTTGAACCTTTGGTGAGCGTCTGATCGGTTGGGAGGAATCTGTAGTTTGCTCTAGCAAAGTAGGTTTTTGATGCTGCCATCGGTGTTTGCTCTAATTTCTCTCTAGCCCCTGTATATGTGTATCTATTGCTTGTTGAGAACGGAAATTTTGTATTGAGTGTTTGGTACTTGAAAATGGAGGTGTTGATCTGCCTTTATAAAGGGTTTGAATAGGATAAGGCTACTCTCTCTCTCTCTCTCAAAATTGTCTTTCTATCTTCTCTCTTACTATCGTCTCAGCAACTGGCGCAAATACTAAAATCCCGTTCCCATCTTATCCCCTGGAATTAAGTAGAAATACCATAATGCCACGGCATATTCTAATTAAGGAAAAATGCTCGTTATACAGCATTATTTATAAATTCTTTTATAATAGCAATAAATTGAGCCTCTATTTGACATCCATTCTCTTCTCATTCATTTTCTCTTTTTTTTTTTCTCTTTTTTCATTTCAACCACACATTCTATCAATAAAATAATATTACACATAACCGATCAAAAAAAATAATATTACACATAAATCGAAAAATTCTTCTTACTTTTTAATCACACATTCTTCCCATCAATCACTATTCCTGAATTTATTCTTCTTTAAAATGGGTATCAAAATTTAAACTGTCACTTAAATAATTTTGCTTATGTAACGTGGGTTAATAGTGGTAAAAAAAAATAAAAATAAAAAATTGGGGAAATTTTTTTATTTTGTTGATGAAATTTTGATTCAATCATCTGCTGTACATAAAATCTGTAAATTGTGATATAAATGTGGCACAATCGATACTCATATGAATAGGATATCCAACAAATTAATCTTCAAGGGTTATATCTATTTTAGTTCCCGTTTGATCTAACTTAAAAGTTGATAAATATTTAGTAGAACTCGCATCTTTTATCAATACATTTAAAACTTGTTTGTTTCCAATTAAAATCCAATTAAAAGTAAAAATATGACCGTTATTGGGTCTCACTCATTTAATAAAAGTCAACAATAACGGCTAATTTTTCAATTTTAATCTCTACCGAACACGACCTTGATCAAATTTATGTAATGCCTCATGGATAATTAGCACAAAACGTTCATATCGTTTGCACCCACTAAACAAATCATCTCTCTTGTTTCACACTCATTTCAACATTTTGTTGCAAGTCGGTATTTTCCAACTCCTTCCATCAATTTCATTTTCTTCCATTAAATGTGGGTAATCGGTGTAAAACGTTCCTATCATTTGCGTTCATTACGCAAAATGTCCATATCGCTTGCCTTTATTGCACAAAAATGTTCATATCGCCTATTTTCTTTATTAAAGTATTGTAAAATCGCTAATTTACCATCGTCTTTAAATAAACAAATAGCTGTAGTTAGAGTTTCAATTTTTTTTTTTTTTTAAATACAAATGATTCTCAAGTAAAACAATTTAAATTTAGTAATAAAAGAAAAAAAATTCTTCTTTTCAATTAACCTCATCTACCCCTACACTTACCTCTATCCCCATCATATACCTTCCACCACCACCACCAAAATAATTAAAAAGATAATTAAATGTATAGAAAAATAAGAAAAAAATTAAAATAGGGGCCCCACCCCCATGTGTGTGGGCTGTGTAAATTGCTGTACACATAGCAAAGTTCTATACGAATTTAGCTATTTTTCTGTAATTAAGTTTTATGTTTCAATATCTTTTTGTTTTCAACTAAGTTATAAGAGTGTTTTTTTTTTCGAATTTAGCTACTTTCAACATATTTTTGTTTCTATCTTCTTCTTGTTGATTACACACATACATACACACTCATTGCATTAACTTTTAAATTTTGCCTTAATTTTGTTCAAGTTTATTTTCCCTCACAAAATGATGTCTAAAAATTGGGTCATTTATTTCATTTGAGGTTATAGTTAAGACCATATTCCAAATCCTAATCATAACTGATCTAATTCTAACCCAACTAAGAGGAAATTATTTTTATTTTGGGAAGATGAATTAAATTATTTTAAGTTGAAAATTTTAGGAATTTGACTATAATTATTTTCATTTTTATATAATTCTTATTTATTTAAAAAGGGGATAAATTAATTATTTTAGAGTCCTTCAATGAAGAAATTTAGGTAATAAGGACATTTTGTACCATGAAGTACTTAGAATGAATTGACAGAATGAGACAAAACTGATCAACTTGATAAAAAGAGTTAAAATAAGCCCCCGTTTGACACCAATTATTTTGAAGAATGAGTTTTTGAATAGTGATTGATGTAAAGAATGTGTGGTTAAAAAGTAAGAAGAATTTTTGGGTTTATGTGTAATATTATTTTATTTGAAGAATGTGTGGTTAGAAATGAGTACTGTAGAAAAATGAGAATGAGAATGAGATAAAAAATGGGTGTCAAACAGGGGCTAAATGTAAATATCAAACATAAAATGATATAAACAATTTGTGCAGGTAAACAATAGAGATATTTTGTTCTAGTCATGCAATGCCCCCACCAGAACCAATAGTTCTTTGTGTGCATCCACGTGTCCTTTTCAAATAATGACAAAACCTTAAGCTAAGGGTATTATCGTAAACACGACGTTGCACTCATTTTTGCCTCATTCTGTCGCGACTTATCGTATATGAGGGCCTTAAAAATCTGTCGCGACTTAAGTGAGTACAGTTCACCTGGTACAGATCCCCAGTTGAGGCGTCCAAGGAAAATAAACGCGTCAGATAATTCGTCGTCTTTGTGCCACGTGGCTTCACGGTTACTTCAGTAAGGCTATGACCGTGATGGCACGTGAAGTGGGCCATTTCAATCTAGCTGCCAGCTGTCAGACTCCTCCTCCTGTACTAACTATATCACAATTGATAAATTATCGCGATTTCAATTTCTCGTGTATTTTTTGTCGTTTTCCGTCTTCGATTTATCGCACAAGGGAATGAACTCGAAGATATCCTTATTAAAAATAATTTTATTATTAACTTTTTAATTGATCAAATTTAAATTTTAATAACATACATACAATTTTTATAAACTTTTTATTCATACATTTTTGAACTTTTTAATCATAATTTTATCAAAAACTCTGTCACATGTATCGTAGATATTTATGAATGTAATTTTTTTTTAAATTTCTTAATACATCTATAATTGGATGGTGCGTTATGTCACATCACAAATAAAAGTTTACATATTAAGAAAGTGGAAAATGTTTTAACACACCTCTATTGTGGAAGGTTTGTTTGACATTATCCACTTATTATTATTATTATTTTTTTATAATTTATCTTCATTAGTTGATATGTCAAATTAAATGCTACCATGACAAGGAAAAATGTGGAATATGTCCATAACACTATCCATCCGTCGAAGGTGTTCTGGACATCCTTCACTTAATTTTTTATAATTAATCTTTATTGAAAAATGTGTACATTTATTTTTCATTTATTTTTCACTATTTCTCTGCTTCCTTTCCCATTAATGCAATCCACGTTTCTATAGGATACGCTCCTCTTTCAATTTCCATTTTATTTGTCACGTATATAACAATTCATATAATTGAATTGAAGATGCTTTAGTGTCTGAACGATTGTTTATTACTAGATTAACAGTGACTTCGAATCCCGTAGGTACAACCTTTCTTTTAAGTATAATGAGATAAATAAAAAGTGGTTCCACTAAAGAGGGTGGAATGGCTTAAGAAAGTGGATAATGTTGCTATTGGGATTCCAAATTAAGAGTAATTAAATGATGATGTTCCCACAACCCATTTTTATAATACGTGCATTACATTATTGTGCTTCGTTGTAAGCAGCAATCTTTATCCAAACACTTTCCTTAATAAACTAGGATTTTTATTTTTATTTTAAATTCTTTTAATATATATATTTTGGTACCCTTAGCCAATGATATATTGACAATATGTAAAGAAATACTTGTTTGTACTTAGAGTTTACGTTACAAATAGCGTGTGCTATCTAAGTTCACGTCAACTCTAATTACAAATTGTATTGTTAGAAATGCACATCGGAAACTTATGCAACTTTAATTTTATGCAACTTAGGAACCTTTTTGTCAACTATAGTTTTCTATGTAACATGATAAGATAGCTGTAATTGCTTTTAATTATGTCAACTTGAATTTAATTTCCCCTACAAGTTTTAATGATGCTTCTAAGAAAGAAAATAACTTGTTCTCCTACGTTTTAAGCTAGAATCTGATTAATAAAACGTAATAAATACTTGAATAAGACTACGAATTTCATCACATTGGTCTTCGAAGTCGGCCATACCTCTCCAAATGAAAATCGAACCCAAGATAATGACCTGATAATATTACAATGTCACCAGTCGCGCTAGGTCTTGATTTTTCAATACGGTTATTATCTAAAATTCGCAACTTATACTTCGTGATCAGAGCTGACTCGGCCTTTAAATAAGTGGAGTGATCGCTTAAAATCTCACATTCAGGTAAGGCCTCCAAAATTTAGAAATTTTCATTTTAAATAATCTACCACAAGAATCTCATAATCATATTTTTTTTCATCCAGGAGAATTAAAAAATAATTTTCATAAACTTATTTTACCAAATCTCTGGCACTAAATAAGTAATGAAAGTAAATAAATATTATTTATAAAAAAAGTGTGAGGGTGACAAATATTAAGGCCCCGTTCGGAGGGATTAAAAGTCAATTAAAATTGAAAATATGGCCGTTATTGGGTCCCACTCGTCTAATAAAAGTCAACAATAACGGCTATATTTTCCATTTTAATCCGATTTTAATCCCTCCCATACAAGGCCTTATAAAATATNCCCTCCCACACAAGCCCTAAAAACCAAACTTCGCCGAGCATGGGTTGCGGTTTGATCATAAGCAAAAGAGAAATTTTTGTCGCATGCGGACTCAAGACGAACCTTAATATTGTTGGAATTTTATTTAATAATGTATGAAAATAAAATAATTTCAATTCTCACCAAAAATTTATTTTGTGTTTAAATAAAAACTGTGATATGAATTATACCTTTTATAAATTTTGCAAACTCTTTTGTTGTTCTTGGAACACGAAAAATCACAATTATCCAAATCGTCCAGCGTCCAATGAAAATTCACGTGGGGAACAACTGTCCATGGCTCGGCTCAGGCACCTAAAAAAAAGTAGTAACATACAAAACTTAAAAAAAAAAGTTTGAAAAAAATTTAAAAAAGTAAAAAAATGATAAAAAATTGAAAAGCCGCATGCCACCTTTGACGGGGCAGCTGTTGTCTGCCTTCGTACAGTTGTAGGCAGCTAAACTAAAAAAAAAAAAATCGAGTTGACCGGCTCGTAAAGGCCAGAGCCGAAAGCTCGGATCGAGCCTAAATTTTCTGGTCGAGCAAAAGCTCGGCTCAGCTTGGGCAAAAAAAAGTTCGAACCATTTTTACTTGAGCCGAGTCCTAACTTCAAGTTTTGGCTCTCGATTCGACTCGTTGACATTCCTAAACAAATTCAAACTTGTTCGTTTACCGTAAAACTATAATCTTTTTGTCAATATGATCCGATCAATTACGAGTATAGATACATGTCATCTCAATCATAGATTATATCTTTCATCATACTATTAAGTCCATATAAGTCGAAAACCCTTTTTCGACTTATGAGTACACATTGACCAATGAATTCATTATCATTTTAACTGAACGAAACGTAGATCATAATCTTTTACTAACTGAGAGCGACGAATCCTATATCGATAATTCACAACCTTCATATATTTTTGACATATCTGAATGATATCGTATTAATGACATTTGATAGAGCAATATCCAATATCACCAAATTATGACCGTCCTCATATAGGGCATTATGATGATCTCAAGTCGAAAGACCAATCCCTCTACCGAACGTTAGAGATTAACCACCGACGCTCAAATAGTTATTCATGTGGAATCTCCTAAGTGGGGTCTCCACTTTTTTGTTTTATAGCAAAACATTCACGATTCATTTAAGTGTCACCACACTTTAACTCGTGAGATCAGTTGCTTACTTCACAAGTAAGAAATGCAACATGTGATGATGTATCAGTACTAAAAATATTCGTATCTTGTTATTACTTATAATCATAGATGATTTAAGATTCGATTATATGTAATTTATATTTCACAATCACAACTCATCGTGATTAACAAATTACTAAGATTTGAATCAACAGACTCTGTTTAAATTAAATAAACTTATAATTAAGTTAAAAATAATATATCTATTATAAATGAAGCACATCAATTTATATATTCAAAGTGTTTATGTCAAAAATTGATTGAATTTGGTGCATAATACTTACAATTATACCACAGAACAATACATTTTTTTTACGACAACGAATCCTTTGAAAGAACTTTTCAAGAAACAAGCGATTCCGTCTTTCACGATTGACTCGAAGAAGGAGAGCAGAGCAAATGAATTTCAGTTTTGTGTTTTTATATCCGAGATTATTTTCGGCCTTTAGAGGACACGACTTTTGAGGTGGCTCTAGCTATTATTGGTCAAGTAATGACGAGTTACACACGTTATACACGCAAGAGAACAAATGAGATGATACAACAGAGAAAAGAAAGAAAAAGTTAGGATTTTAAGTCTTTGGTGTAAAGTACACGATTCTTGGTGAAGTTCATCTTTTCTCATTTTTCCTCTAAACTTGATGATTTAGGGTGTGTTTGACACCCATTTTGGTGAAGAATAAATTCTGGAATAGTGATTGATGGAAAGAATGTGTGGTTGAAAAGTAAGAAAATTTTTTGGGTTTAAGTGTAATATTATTTTATTGATTAATGTGTGATTGAAATGAAGAAAGAGAAAAAAATGAGAAAGAGAATGGGAAGAGAATGGATGCCAAACGGGGGCTTACTCCAAAATCGTTTTGTATTTTTTTTCTTCCATTACGATGTATAACAGAGCTAATTTGTATTTACATAGAGATATATTGAGTTGACTCAATTAAATACGATTAATTTGAACTCCAAACAGATAAATTGATTTAATCAGTGAATTCGATCAAATACAACTTTAGAAATTGAACCTGAGAGGCGAGATTAAAGAGGATAACTACTGTGAAATCGTTATCCTCGATCCAAAGAAAACACGTTCATGTAATTGCTTTTACTTTCCTTAATTAACGTTAGTTTAATAAAATAATTGCAATCAATTTTCGCTTTATTTAATTGTAGTTTTGAATAATTAAATTAATTACTAAATAGATGGTAACTCGTGACTCGTGAGAACGATAAATTGGACTCTTATGACAAATCTTGCACTCGTTTTGTTAACGTAATGAACTTGCAATTAAAGCATAATATCTACCCCAAGCTTCCTCTCATTAGTACAAAGACGAACTTGTGGTCTAGCTCTTTGATGGGGATCTCTCTATGCATGTGATGTGTCACAATTAGATCCCAATCAATAATATTTATGGGATCTACAAATATGGTTCAACATCTACATCCATTACATGTTCGTAAGTCGCACGTAAAGCTCTCTATCTATCCATAAATGCATATCAACAATTATAAACCATTCAAACTTGAGTGCAAAATAAGATTTACATATATGTAAAGCTCACGTAGAATTAAAAGCAAGGCACACCTTCATCCAGTTCATGCCAAACAATAATTCAAAATCTGAAATTTGATATTTTGAGGAGTAAACACTTTTGCACTTGAATACTTTCAAGCATGATCATAAAAGAAGAATGAAACGTGAAAAAAAAATAAGGAGAGGAATAGTTGAAAATACACAACGAAATTCAATATAAATTAGGGATTCAGATAGAACAATTGACGGGTATGTGATCACCGACACACATTCTATGCACCAACAATTTTGAACAATAACATTGTTAGTGGTGTCGTCGGCAATCATAAACGGTGCTTTGATCAATGATCACATACGTAGAGACATTTATTATTTCTTATTTAATTTTCTCTAATATTTTATCAGTAACTTAATATATATATATAATTTTGATTCATAATATTATAATTGTTATTTTATTGAGATTTTAGCCCAACAATAGGTATAGTCAGCCTGTTTATCCGAGTCCAGACGTCTTAAGTATTTGAAAAGTCAACTCCAAGCCGAAGCCCAAACGTTCTTGGGCCATATAGCCCAGAAAACCCCGAATTGCTACACCATTTTACCTTTTTCTTCACCTTCTCAGTCACTGCTCTCAAAACCCTAGCCACTGCGAACAATGCCGCCGAAGTTTGATCCCTCCCAGGTCGTCGACGTTTTCGTCCGCGTCACCGGCGGTGAAGTCGGTGCAGCTAGTTCACTTGCCCCAAAAATCGGCCCGCTGGGACTTTCTCCGAAGAAAATCGGTGAAGACATAGCCAAGGAAACTGCCAAGGACTGGAAGGGCCTCCGCGTAACGGTCAAGCTCACCGTCCAGAACCGCCAAGCCAAGGTCACCGTCGTTCCCTCTGCCGCCGCCCTCGTAATCAAGGCCCTTAAGGAGCCCGAGCGAGATCGTAAGAAGACTAAGAACATTAAACACAATGGGAATATCTCGCTCGACGATGTCATTGAAATTGCCAAGGTAATGAGTCCACGCTCCATGGCCAAGGATTTGAGCGGCATCGTGAAGGAGATTCTTGGCACTTGTGTCTCTGTAGGGTGCACTGTTGATGGGAAGGATCCTAAGGACTTGCAGCAGGAGATTACTGATGGAGATGTGGAGATTCCCCTTGACTGAGGTGATTACTTTGGAATTTTCGTTTAATCGAGTTCTCTTTTTTCTTTTTTAATTTTTGTGTTGATTATGAGGGGAAAAATGTTTAATTTTGGAGGATAATTTTTGACATGATTTGAATGAAAGAACTTTATAAGAGACATGTCCTATTAGTGGTATTATTATCATTGTATTATTATAATGTACTTTAATAAAGTTATAATTTTGTGCAATTTTACTTAAGAATTTTTGCTCTCATGCTTCTTACATTTGGAATGGCATTCATTCATTAAGGTGATCGTGTTTGTTGAGTTAGTTTAATTGGTAGTCCACTTTAGTTTTCTTTGTACTAACATTAGGAAGTACCTCGGTATTGTTCATTCATTCAACAAAATTATTGGGAAAGTTAGTTTTGCTTAAGAATTACTATTTTATTATTTTTTATGTATTGATTATATAACAATAAGTTATGTATTTCTGATATTAGCTTATCCTCGTATGTTTTTGTGCCATGTGAAATTGTGTTTATTCATCAAAAGGGGTAAATTCCTACACTTTGCTGCCTAGGCACTGCACTTCTTAATATGTTGCCTTCTTGTTTACTGCTGCAGACTACTTTTGGGTTTTGATACATAGTGAATATTTTGTAAAATATTGTTAAATGTGATATCTTGATCTTGGGTTATGAGTAGTCTAGCAAGTAGCAACTAATAGATTTCAAATGAGTTGGATTTTACTGAGCTTAAGTATCAATTTTGACTCTTAAATGGCAGATTAGTGAATTCTCGGGTTACAGAGCTTCAGTTTCAAGGTTTACCATCTAGGAATGATGCATTTGTTGTCCTTTTATCCTAGCGTTCAGCCAGTATTATATACTTTTGGTAGACCAATGAGTATGACAGCATGATGTTTCAAGCATTCGAACATGAATGCAACAAATGAATGAAAATGCAGGCTTGAAAAAATGCTTGTCGACTGAAGAGTTTGAGATTATTCCTTGAGCCTCTTGTGTTGAACATTAGTAATGGTTAATGAATTCTCGGGATAAAGTTTACAGAGCTTCGGTTTTAAGGTTTACCATATAGGAATTATGCATTTAGACTTTTCTTTGCTTCTTGGTTTGTTGATTTATTGTCCTTTTATCCTAGCGTCCATCCAATTGCTAGTATTTTTATCTACTTTTAGTAGACCAATGAGTATGACAGCATGATGTTATCAAGCATTAGAAAATGAATGAAAATGCAGGCTTGAAAAAATTCTTGTCAACTGAAGAGTTTGAGATTATTCCTTGAGCCTTGTGTCAAACATTAGCATTAAGGGTTGCTTTGTGCCACATCTGTTGCTGATGATACGAGTAAACATGTGATGTCGCATAAAACACTTTTTTCCAGTGGAACATCTGTGCTTGAATTTGAAAGAAATCCTATATCATTGTAAGAACTAGACTTTTCTCAGTAATGAAAAAATTTTCGGAGGGCAAAGTCTGTTGTGAAAGAAAAATGTGAAAGCGATCCTTTACCAGCAGAATTATCTACTTTGTTATAGTACGTTTGTCTTGATCTTTCAACTTCCCGTAGGAGAGAATTCTAAGTGGTATCCAGATTAGATGCCTATTTTGGGAGCCACTGGCCTAATGATATGCAAATACTAGGTACATGTTTTTCTGACTGTTTTAATGTTATTCCTGAGTGCTATCCATTTTTGACTTATCCTTGCTAGACCAGATGAAGCTAGCACGGATAAATCTATAAAATCTTTCATGCTGGTTCATCGAATTCGCGTGTGTAAGCATTATTCTTCTGGGCACAATTAGTCCTGTGATTCCTCCCGTCTGAATCTTGTTCCAATGGTGAATATGAGGAAAGAAATCTCAAAATTTAGATCCATAGTGCCCCAGAAACACGTGTCAACCTTTTTTTGAAAGACTTACCAGAATATTGGTTTCGTCTGGAAGAAACCAATCGTTACTTTCAGTTGGTGATGACTGTTTGGGATTTTGATTTCTGAATTTGAATATGGGAGGATTTTTACGGATTAAGATTGTGCAACAAGAGCCTATCTCGTTGTATTTTCAACTAATATATACGATCAAGTATTTTTAAATTTCCTATTACATATTGGTGTATATATGTAATGTTTTTCCAAAAATTATCCCATTGGGCAAGAGGACAATAAGGGATAACCAGGACATTAAGTTGGCCAAACGAACTCGATGCCACTTCTCGCATGACTTCTGAGTTCGGACTCACCCAATGAGTTAACAACCAAGACTTGGTCAGATGAGAATTTGATCAAGTTAAAGATACGGGTAAAATTGTCGATTTGATTTTATCTTGTCTTCTTAATTCAAGATACAAACAATAACTCGGTCATCAAATCGTACTCTAGGATGAGATTGGCTATGATGGTTAGATCATCCAATGTATAGTTCTTTTTTAAAAGGATAAAGTTACATGTAAACATTTGGTATTAAGTTTCACATCCCCCTTACATGGGTGGTGAGGTCTTTTTAAAATTCTTATCACCATCCACCCGTCGGTGTCGAGATCGTCACTATTTTCATCCCCGTGGTTACGACCTTCCTCCAATAAAGTCCCAACCTTCAAAGGTAACCATATTCAATTATAATGTTTGAACTCATTTTTCTCTAGCATCATGTACACTTTTTATCTATTTAAAATTTCATACCGAATTGATCTTCAGAAGGTATATAGTCAACATTACAGTGGTAAGAATCTACGGTTCACATTTATCCATAAAATTTTAAAGCCAAAAGTAGTGACATTAAAAACTGATTTTGAAAATGAATTATATTTGGTTTTAGACGTTATAAACCAACTTGCAATATAAGTATTTTACTTATTTATACCAATAAGTTTGTATACGAAATGTAGGCCCCCCACTTTGGTTTCCATTAATTATTTAAACAAAAACCATAAAGTAAAAAAAATTATGGTGATCGGAGTGGACACGTGTTGTTCTACTAGCCGCTACTCAAATAGTAAACGACATAAAAAGAACACAAATGATGTAAGATAAACAATAATTAAACATATTAGAGTTTATGAATAAGCGTTATGACAGATGGAGAAAGGGAAGTGGAATTGTCGGTTTTAAAGTAATAAAGCGTGGTTGGTTTTTCCAAAAAATATTTTCAATCACAAATTTTGTCAATACAAATAATTTCGCACGTTGACTTATAACTTCTTCTTACTTTTTAAAAACACAATACAAAAATAAAAAAAAAATAAAAAATTTAACTTCAAATAATCTGTCTATAAAACAAACTCTAGTACAGGGGCGGAGGTCCATTAGGTCCAGTGCGGACAAATGCCCGCACTGAACTTTTGGGCCATTTTTTTTTGTTGGGCCAAATTTTTTTTTTTTAATTAAACCCACATCCCAACCCAAAACACTCAAAGCCCAATACCCAAAAAGCCTTCTTCTTCTCCTATCATCTGGAATTGGGCAAATCAAATCGATAGTTCGCCCTTCGCCCTCGCCCTCGCCCCTCGCCTGTCGCCCTCGCGAGTTCCAACTTCCAATAGCTCCTCTTCCTTGTCCCTTAGCCCGTTCGCCCTTCGCCCTTCGTTCACCCGCAGCCCGTTCCCGCTTCAAGCTTTGTTCGACACTTCGAGCCTTGAGGTTTGAGCTTCAGCAGAAGAAGAAGTGAAGACCTGAAGAAGAAGCGAAGAAGGTGAGAAATGCTTGTGATTTTGCCTTTTTTTTCTGTTTCTTTTCATTTATATAATCATCTGCCGATTCTGCCCGACTGCCCCTGCTGGTAATAATGTTCCTTTTTTTATGTTCACTTGCTGGATTTTGATGTCCAATTGCTGGACTTTGATGTTCAATTAGGATTTCATTTTGTCTAATCCTCTGCCATGCCCCTGCTGGTAATCGAGGTTTGGCTTGCATCTTGCTGGACGCTAGTTGCTCCCTGACTCCCCCGATCCCTCTTTCCTGCCTGCATTCAGCCTTTGGCCCTTTGCCCGTGTGGGGTGAGTTTGAGTTATTTGAATTTGTAACTATAAATTGAAATCATGTATTGTACTGTGAATTGATTGTGAATTGAGTATACTATTGCCCTGGAAAATGAAATTTGAATAAATGAATTGCTAATAGTGATGCTATTAACTACATAAAAAGAATTGTCCTCTAAATTTTCCAGTAGTAATTGTCTAATTGGATATGAAATGTTTAAATTCAGATATCAAATGAAGAGATACTTTGAAAGAAAAACGAATGTAGAAAATGTTGATGAGGGAATATTGAATAAAGTAGAATTTGATGTTACAAAACTTCCAACTCGACGATTGTGACCAAAAACTCGACGATGTTTGGCGTCGAAGAAAAAATGCCCTCACTGAATATAAATCCTGGCTCCGTCCCTGTTTAGAAGGACATTTACAATATGGATGAAATAGGCTTATTTTATTGCTTGCAAGTCGATAACTCTTTTTGCTACAAATAGATAATTACAATTGTTATATGTTCTAATCAGGGCTGTACCTAGTTTCGCAACGTTTGAGGCGAACTTCAGAATTTACGCTCTTAAATCATAGCATGCAATCAATTTTTTTTTCATTTACAAGAGTTTTACGAAACTCAATTTGTTAAACTTAAAACCAACAATAAACAATAAATAAAATGAAGTATTCAAAATATTTATATTATAGTCAAATAATAATACGAAAATGTTCTAAACGATCACGTATATACAGTAACTGAAGTCACTCAAATCATATAATAGCTAACACTAACTGAAATTTGAGAGTAAAAGGGCGTTCAAATTAGTTAAAGAATGAAAGATTAAAAGATGTGATTTTTTTTGTCAAAGCATTGTACCAACGCATAGCATAGACCATAGTTATATATAATATATGAGATAGAGTGGTAGACCATTTAGGAAAAATAAATAACAATGTCAAACAATTAAAAATAGTGAATAAACTAAAGGGAAAAGGCAAAAATTCATAAGAATGATAACATAAGTACATACATAATAATTAATTAACTAATGGGTAGTACTATATTCATGAATCTCTTGTAAGTCATAATTCATAAATCACTATATATCATCATCGAGTTTTAAAGAAAATCACTCAAAGAAAGCCACAAAAAAAAAAAA